AGGGTTTTGTCAGGTATAGGAGGCGTAATTTGTTATATTGATGATGTCCTTATAGCCACAGCATCAATTGAAGAACATTTGGCGTTGTTGAAGACTATATTTGCTCGCTTGGCGAAGTATAATATCAAACTAAAGAAAGAAAAATGCCTATTTTTGCAAAAAGAAATTGAATATTTAGGACATCTTGTCACGGAAGAGGGCATCAGACCTTTAGATCATAAGGTACAAGCAATACAGAAGGCCAAAACGCCTACGAATATCTCTGAATTAAGGTCATTTCTTGGTTTGGTAAACTTTTATGGGAAGTTCATACCCAATTTGCCAGAGCTTTTGAAGCCTCTTCATGAGCTTCTTCACAAAAAACGTCCTTGGGTTTGGACAAAGGAATGTGGAGAGGCCATTGACAAGTGCAAGAATAGCATTACCTCTGAGAGGGTGCTAGTCCCGTATGATGCGACTTTGCCATTGTGTTTGGCCACTGATGCATCGCAGATTGGAGTGGGCGCTGTGTTGTCACATATTATAGAAGGCCAGGAGAGACCGATTATGTTTGCCTCACGGACTTTATCGGAAGCAGAACAAAATTATTCTCAGATTGAGAAGGAGGCTCTAGCCATTATTTATGGAGTTACCAAGTTTCATCAATTTATTTATGGAAGAAAATTTATTCTTATTACAGACCATAAGCCATTGGTGACCATTTTGGGCTCAAGATCAGGAATCCCCACCTTATCTACTTCAAGATTGCAGCGTTGGGCGCTTATTTTGTCAGCTTATACTTACGATATTAAATTTCGAAGAACTCAAGACCATGGGAATGCAGATCTTCTGTCACGTTTTCCTGTGGGCTGTGAAGAAATTCCAAGATTAAATAATGTCTATGCTTTATCCTATGTGGAAGAATTGCCGATCACAGCAGAGGAAATTGCCACGGAAACTGAAAAAGACGAAGTGCTCTCATTGGCCAAATTTTATACTCAGCAAGGCTGGCCTGAAAAGGTGGCTGATCACCTCAGACCTTATTTTCAAAGGAAACTTGAGCTAACTGTAGATGGGGAGTGTTTGGTTTGGGGAATGAGAGTTGTCATTCCACCATCTCTCAGAATAAAAATGTTGAACTGTCTTCATGAGACTCATTCCGGTATGAACAAAATGAAGGCTGTAGCAAGATCACATTTTTGGTGGCCAAATCTAGATACCCAAATCGAGTTTTTGGTAAATAAGTGCAGAAGCTGTCAGCAATCCCAGGATGGGCCAAATAAAGGAAAATGGCAACCCTGGAGATGGTCAACCAGACCTTGGCAAAGAATCCACATTGATTTTGCAAATAAGGAAAACATTAATTTATTAATAGTAGTAGATAGTCATTCGAAGTGGATTGAAGCCATCCCAATGAGAGAGACCACCACACGCAAAACCATTGAGCAACTACGGCGACTTTTTTCTTCCTATGGTCTACCGGAGGAACTTGTATCTGATAATGGACCTCAGTTTACTGGTAGTGAAATGAAAGGTTTTCTGGAAGGAAATGGAATTAAACAAACATTGATCCCGGCGTACCACCCGCAAAGTAATGGCTTGGCTGAAAGAGCGGTTAGAACAATTAAGACTGCCCTGGATAAAAATAAAAGGAAAATTGGGGATACCATTCAAGACACCTTATCAAAAGTTCTTCTGGCATATCGAAGCACCCCGCATGTGACAACGGGAAAGACTCCATCAGAGCTCTTTATTGGGCGTGCGCTTCGAACCAGAGTATCGTTGATACATCCCAGCTTGACATCTAGAGTTAGGGACCAGCAAGCCAGGCAAATGAAGTATGATCGGCGAACCCAATTGGAAGAATTCCAGATAGATGATTTAGTGTGGTGTAAAAACTTTAGAGGTGGTGATAAATGGATCCCGGGAAAAATTGTGGGCAAGAAGGGAACTAGAGTCTACACCATTTTGATCCACGGACAGGTAAAGGCCTATCACAGGGATCAAATTAGAAAAAGGTGGAGGAATGGTGAGGAAGATGAGAGTGGAGATGGAGAGCGTCAACCCGAGCACTCAAGAGGAGCAGGTCCCAGTGCCATAATCTCGGAGGTTGTACGAGACAGAGGTTATATGGAGTCGCTGTCGCCAGGACTAACTAGCCAGCGGTCGGATCAAGATTCAGAGGTTCAGAGTGATACAGACGATGGAAAGTCATTGGAGCCTCTTCGCTCGCTAGACCCCGAGGCCTTGAAAGAGGAGGGTCCTGTCCTAAGGCGGAACCCACCTAGAGCGAGGAGACCGCCTGTGAGATTTCGTGTTTGAAGAGAGAAGATGGTGATATATAGCTAGCAATAAATATGTATATATATATGTTTCTATGAAAATGTTAATCTGCAAGACGCAGGTTATCATCATCCCTTTTTGATTTGTTTTTGTCACTTTTTGGCGTTCCGAAAATAAACAATAAAAGGCTGTATCAGACTTTATTAAGACAATAAAGATTTGCTAAAAATAAATGTGTACGAAGATGTTGCAGTATCCACATATACTTTTCTAAACAAACTTACAAAAAATCTCAAGGTAAACACACAAGCCCAATTAAGTAAATCATATGTGAATATATCGGCGACAGCATTGTTACCATCTTCAGACAGAAGTACTGAAGTTGTTAGCACTTACTTGCTTCAATACTGATAAATCACAATTTGGATTATAGATTATAATACAAGAAAATAAGACCTAATCCAAATAATTTATTAGTGTATGATGTTTCAGCAACAGCATTGTCACCATCATCAGACAAAAGAATAAATGGATTTGGAATGGAATTGGAAAATCCATTTATTCTTTTGTCTGATGATGGTAACATTTTCTTGTTTTGCTTCAATACTGTTATCTGATGACAATGCTATTTCAGAAACATCCACATATAATTCACATATTTGATACCATTGCTTCATGATTTTAAAAAAGTATTTGAAAATAACAAGAAACATATAGTCTACAAGCTTGATTGAGTGAAGATAAGAAAGAAGAAGAAGACATTCTGCAAATCCTTTTCCAAAAAAAAATAGAAAGAATCCATTAAACTCTAGCATGCACTAAAAATGAAAATGGCTGCAGTAGGTGAAACTTAAAGAACAAAAATAATGCCTATGATATTTAAAATCACAATTATAGCTGCTAAATCATTTTACAATATCCATTAAAAAAAAATTACAACAATGCATTCTAAAAGAAATACCTTTATTATTTAGAGAATATAATTATACCATTTGAATTGTATAATTTTTGCTTTAAACACACATTTTATGGAAGTTGTAAACTCTCCTCCCTTTAAACATGGGGAAAGATGGCTGTTCAGGAAATAAAGTGTAAGCTATGAAATGGAAAAATAGTACAAATATGAAATTGTACTGGAATAAGATGAATAAATTAAGAAAAAGGCATCTCCTTATCATGTAACTGAGAGTTACTGATGGCTTGCATCATCTATCAAAATAAATATCAATTATTTGTTGATTTTTAATTGTTCCAGAATTGGCCAAATACCCATTCTGGATTAATCAAGAAAAGCTAACCATGTACGCGTTTCGGGCTATTGGCCCTGGTCAGCGTGGTGCAAGCTGTACCTCAACGAAACTGGGCATTCAGGCATCCTGAAAAATCATGAAACGAGTAGTTAACACTAGAAGTGTGTGAGAACACAAAACAATGTGAAAAAATAGTACAAATATGAAATTGTACTGGGATAAGATGAATAAATTTTTAAAATGGCGCATGCCATCAGCAACTCTCAGTGGCACAATAAGGAGTTGCCTTTTTTCTTAATATAAAATGGAAGTTTACATGTACATAGATGAAACATTGGGGTGACTGTAGGAAAGCTGCAGGGAGGGGTTGAAAGGTGTCACGGCACATCAGCTGTAGTCCCTGAAGATTGAACATAAAACATTGCTAGAAATCTCCCTAGTTTCTATACAGAACCACCACAGTCTGGTTTGGCATTCAAGATCAACAAACAATATGCCATATAAATATTTGAGCATGGAAAAAAAATATTCAGTTTCGAAATTTGATTTATGCATTAGAAACATAAGATTGTTGTTTCTTATCCCCTTGTGTAATGATTACACCAATTCCATGAGTTCATGCTCCTTGAGCTGTTCTATGATAAGCAGCAGCCTCTCCCAAAGGTCCTGTTTAGTGCATCTAATGCAAGCCAAAATGTGTTCTGGAGCTGCAGGTACCAAGCTACATTTTGGACAAGTGGGGTAGTTTTGTTGTTATTTTATCCATGAGAAACATAAGGTAACAAGACCAAATCTAAAATTAATGGAATGTTTGTGACATTTTAGTATCAGTATTGTTACCAAAACATCACAAATATATTCCGTAATTTGGATTTGGTCTTATTTATACCTTATGTTTCTATATTATAAACATAAGGTAATAAAACGAAATAAATAAATAGTTTTTGATATTTCAGTAAGAGCATTGTTACCATCATCAGACAAAATTTTTCATTCAATACTTTTGTCTGATGGTGATAACAATGTTGTTACCAAATGTCACACACACTATTTATTTACTTGTATATGGTCTTGTTACCTATTTTTCTAATCTATAGTGCAAATTTTATCTTATAATTTCTAGATTCTGTTTGGATATGCTTGAGGAGCATGAACTCGTGGAATCCATGTGATCTTTAGACAAGGGAATAAGAAACGACAACAACAGATTCTGTTTGGGGGAAATTTTAAAACCTATTCTTTTTTCTTTTTTTTCTTATTCCAAGTACACGTGGTACAGGCCATGATAATCATGGTGGGTAGTTAGCGACTGCTTTTTACTGTAAGTGCACCACATGTCTACACATGTGAAAGCAGTTCGACTTTGCACTTAAAAATGTGCCAGAGCCCTGTTTGGTTACTTGCACTCGCTGGTGGGGTTGGACTTTTGCAAGAATCGGGGGGCCATTGGAGCATTTTTTTTTTCTTTTTTTTTTTAAACAGAAAAAGTGTCCAATGCGGGAATCGAACCCGGGTCGTAGTGGTCGTAAACCAAACGGTTTAACCAGCCTTCCACATTAAGCTATTACTGTCTCCAATGCACAAAAGTATCTGGAGTTCAATAGGTAAAAAGAAATAGATCACAAAATGCTAAATGTGTTCACAGTATGAAGATTCCCATTGTAAATATCTCAAATATCAACATTCACCACATCTATAGCTGAAAATTAAAAACTATTTCTATAGACCATATACTACTGTTAATAAACACAAGGTAATAAGACCAAATCCAAATAAATAGTGTGTGACATTTTTTGTAACAGCATTGTTACCATCTTCAGATGTTATCGAAACATCACACACTATTTATTTATTTGGATTTAGTCTTATTACCTTGTGTTTATAATCAATAATCCAAATTGTACCTTATCATACTGTTAATAAAAAAAAAAAACTGAAAATCTAAAATTGGTTTTGTTGTTTCTTATCTCCTTATGCAAAGATTATGCCAATTCCATGAGTTCATGCTCCTCGAGCAGTTTTATGATAAGCAGTGGCCTCTCCCAAAGGTCCTGTTTAGTGCATCTAATGCAAATTAAATGTGTTCTGGAGCTGCTGGTGCCAAGCTACATTTTGGGCAAGTGGGGTAGATTTTATTATTATTTTCTATCTTCAATGGCTTGAGATTAAAAAAATTAGGAATGGCCTCAAATTACAGGCAAAGCCAGACTTTCAATAAAGAGATATCATGTTAATTCTTTATTGAGAAAGGTTTTATAGAACCTCTCTCTCTTTTTAGACATTTTTTACTACTTGTAATTAACACTTAACAATAGAAAGGGGTCGGTGGAAGGATGGTCTAAACCGTTGCTTTTTGACCGCTATGACCCGGATTCGATTCCCACATTGGGCACTTTTTTCTGATTTAAAAAAAAAATGCTCCAATGGCCCCCGATTCTTGCAAAAGTTTAACCCCACCAGCGAGTGCAAGTAACCAAACTTGACACATTTGTAAGCGCAAAGTGGAATTGCTTTTCACATGTGTATGTAGACATGTGGTGCACTTACAGTAAAAGCAGTCGCCTTCTATCCACCATGATTATAATGGCCTGTACGTGTACTAGGGATAAGCAAAAAAACTTAACCATAGAGAGAATTTAAGATTCATCATGTTATGACATCGGGTTGTGCTGCTATAATGAGATATCAGTATTGTTGCTGTTTCTTATCCCCATATGTAAAGATTACACAAATTCCATGAGTTCATGCTCCTTGAGCTATTTTATAATAAGCAGCGGCCTCTCCCAAAGGTCCTTTTTTAGATTTCAGTGTAGGTAGCTTAGGAAAACCACTGGAATATAGGGGGGGTCGGTGGAAGGATGGTCTAAACCGTTGGTTTTCGACCACTACGACCCGGGTTCGATTCCCGCATTGGGCACTTTTTTTTTTCTAATAAAAAAAAAAATGCTCCAATGGCCCCCGATTCTTGCAAAAGTCCAACCCCTCCAGCGAGTGCAAGTAACCAAACGGGGCTCTGGCACATTTGTAAGTGCAAAGTCGAACTGCTTTTCACATGTGTAAACATGTGGTGCACTTACAGTAAAAGCAGTCGCTAACTACCCACCATGATTATCATGGCCTGTACCATGTGTACTAGGGATTAGCCAGACTGGAATATAGAATAACACATGGAAGCATTTACAGAATGAAAAACTATTAACAGTAGAACCTCAATGAGCGGACACTCGCACTAAAGGACACTTCTCTACAAAGGAGAGTTTTAATTTCTTCCAAATTACAATTTTTACTATTTAGTAACTTTCCAGTAAGAGGACACCTCTCCCTAAAAGACATTTAGGCTCTGCAATTAGGTGTCCTTTACAGGGAGGGTTTTTCTACTGTATATATATAAAAGAAAATACATTAAATAAAAAATTATATTCTATATAAGAGGATTTCTCAAATAAGTATTGCTCTCAATAAAAATTTAAAAAATAGAAGAGAGTTTAAAGTAAAAAGATAACACATAAATTTTATACATGTATATTTTTTAAATCCATCATATTTTTATAAAACCAAGAGTGAAAAATCCAAAAATTATAATTTTATCAAGGTTTCAAAGAATCTTTTTTGAATTCATTGTAAAATCAACTTTTTAAGAATTCAATAAAAAATAAATCATGTGATATTCTGCAATGTCTTTCACAATCTCTTCAACATATACTTATAAAAATATTCCCTATATATAAATATCCATATTTATTGAAACAACAAGTTAACCACATATAAAACAATCCTAAAAAAATTATGGTTTAATAGGGGAGGGAGTGAAAAATTAGTTTGTTAAAAAAAATCTAATACAGTAGAACCTCCATGAGAGGACACTCACGCTAGAGGACACCTCTCAAAGGACAGTTTTCATGACCAAAATTACCATTTTTACTATTTAACAATTCTCCGGTAAGAGGACATCTCTCTCTAAAGGACACTTTGGCTTTGCAATTAGGTGCTGTCCTTTACAGAAAGGTTTTACTGTATGAAAAATTTCATTCAAATATAGAGCAAAATATGATGCACTTGCGCGCCATCTGTTATCAAATTTCAAAACTATTTTAAAGGCGTTAGATTCTTTTTGAAATAAAACAATTTCTACTGCCCTTACTGCAATGGAAAAATTAAAGGGATGCAATTTTTCCATTGCAGTAAGGGCAGTAGAAATTGTTTAATTTCAAAAAGAATCTAACGCCTTTAAGATAGTTTTGAATTTTGATAGAGCAAAATATAAAATTTGATTAATTCATGACAATCATAGATTAAAAAATCAAAAAAAAAAAACATTCTGGGATGTGTTACAGGATGTGTGTTGCTTTGGTCTTAAGAAAAGTTTGAGAAGTGGTGGAAGGAGTGTGTTGGGATATGAACAGCTTGAATAGTCTCAGAAACAAGAGATTCTATTAAAAGAGGGAAAGTTGTGAGGAAAGCAGCAACAACACAGAAAACTCCTCTCAACATTATTTTTTTAAATTGGAATAAAGAATCAGGATACAATTCCAACAAGATACCAACATTAATATGTAGGATAGCAAACACAATGTGAGATGGTGAGTTTCCTCGGTGTGAGGGAGTGTATTTACAAGGGGGATGTCCCACCCACCCAATGATATTTACATGACTAGCTGACACACAAGAGCTGGTGACACTACGGCCGAGATAGGATAACTCCCTCCTCACACAGCAGGTCGTAGATTCGCCGGGTCTTGTTGACGTCTATCTTGACCAGGCTCCGGGCTTGGGTCAGTCTCAGCCCCCCCAGCCTCTCACTCTCCAGGACCAGGAGCTGCTTCTGCTGGAGGTAGTAGTCGGGGACTAGCCGCAGCTCAGAGCACAGCTGGCACACACATTCTCTTAGTCTCAATTATAAGCCCTCAGCAGAGCTGACTGCTACAGGGCACATCCCCAGGTAGTGAATAGGAAAACAACCTTCAGATATGGAGGCCAGTTGTGAAACAAACAGAATAACTCTGACAAATAAGCATTCACGGACCAACAGCAGCATTGTTAGAAAGAGGAGTAAGAACTCTTTAAAAATCCTGACTTCAACTGACCCGGTTGATAGACCTCATCACAAGCGTTCCCTCTCCAAGGATACGGAGAAGCTGCATCTTTACTCATGTTAGAGTCTGCAGCAAAGGTGTCTGCTTCCATGTTAAGAACGGCCTCAAATTACAGAAAAAGTCAGACTTTCACCAAAGTGTGCCTGGATCATGGTGCCATGTTCAATGAAAGCTGCACCCCTACACCCCATTCCATGAGATAAGCTTGAGGAGCATGAACCCATGGAATTTGTGCAATCTTTGCACAAGGGGATAAGAAACAACATAAACCATTTTATAATAACTAAACTTGTTCTGAATATTATCTAAAAAAAATAATATATTTTCTAAATAAAAATAAATAATTTTTGACATATATGATTATTTTTAAAAATAAAGCAATTATCTACTACCTTTACTGTGATGATCAAAAATTGGGAGGGCCTGGCTCATTAGTGGTGAACCCTCCCGGCGGTTTTGTCGGTTTAATTGGTGCCAGGCCCTTCCATTATTTTATCATTGCAGTAAGGGCAGTAGAAGATTATTTTATTTCAAAAAGAATCACACAAGTCTAAAATTAGTTTAAATATCTTAAAACAGATGACACGCTAATGCATCATATTAATAAATAATTTTAGCGTTAATAGTTTTAAATTAAATTAAATTTTATTGCCATCTATCGTTAAAATTTTACACAAATAAATTTACTGGCAATGCGTTTCTTTTTAAATATCATCAAATATGATCTCTACAGTGCAATCAATCATTGCAGTAAAGGTCTGTAGAGATCATATTTGATGATATTTAAAAAGAAACGCATTGCCAGTAAATTTATTTGTGAATATTTTTCCTTTTTTTTTTTGCCTATATACAAAAACAATTTCCTGCTACCCTTATTGCTTTGAAAAAAATATTGGGAGGACCAGGCTCACACATCAGTGGTGAATTGTCTCGGTGGTTTTGACAGCTTAATTTATTGATGCCTGAAAACCTTATTACAGTAGAACCTTCATGAGAGGACACTCATGCTAGAGGACACCTCTCTATAAAGGACAGTTTTCATCTTCAAAAATTAACAATTTTACTATTTAGTGACTCTAAGATGACACTTCTTTCTAAAGGACACTTTGGCTCTGAAATTTGGTGTTATCCTTTACAGGGAGGTTCTACTGTATTTGTGATTTATTAGTTAAAGAGCAATGGTCAATGCATTATATGAATATATATTGCTGCTGTTTTCAAAGCTGATGTACATGGTTTCTTCAAATATCTTTATTAAGAATTCCTCTGCTCGAGGAGCATGAACTCATGGAATTTGTGTAAATTTTACACAAGGGGATAAGAAACAACAACAAGAATTCCTCTAAAGTGCTGGCTATATAAACAGAACAGCCAAATACAATAGTAAAGTGGTATGGTAAAGTAAACTGAAACAATCTTTGGGAGGGTTCACCACTGATGAGCCAGACCCTCCCAATAGTTTGCAGGTAGGGCAGTAAAAACATATTTTATTAGAAATCTCAGAGCTTAAATATACTCATGGACAAAATTTAAGGAAGTTGTACCTTTCAGCATGTATATTGGAATTTAAACAATAACTCTGAAAGATATTACAGTGACCTTTAATGAAGACACACGAGATAACCAAGTGTGAACAAAATTGCCTCTTTCTTAAATTTAAGATACTTTGACCAGTAAATCTTTTTTACTAAAATTTTATTAAAAAGATTTACTGGCCGAAGTATCATTAATTTTAAGAACTCTGAATGCTGGCCAGGCAACCACTACATGAAAATTGCCTTTTATCTCCTTGAAACAAATAGATGGCCGAGGACATCAAAGACTTTGCACTTCCTTAAGTTCTGTCCCTGAGTGCAGTTTATGAATAGAGGTGGCACCTACCTTCTTCTCCTTCTCAGTCAGCTTGTCATGATCGGCAAAGTTCTTGATGTCCAGAGGTGGGGCCGGCTTCCTCCCTGTGTGACACAATTTGGTACCTTTAGAACAAGTGTTCTCCCCTCAGCCATTTCAGAGTAATCTTTCTACTGGACATTTTTTTTTTTTTTTTGCTTATCCCTAGCACACGTGGTACAGGCCATGATAATCATCGTGGGTTGAAGTAGGCGACTGCTTTTACTGTAAGTGCACCACATGTCTACATATGTGAAAATAACTCCGCCTTTGCCGGTCCCAAGCCCAGATGAAAAAGGAGGAGGGGGAGCAGTAACAAGCTCACTAAAAAACCTGGGCTCAGTTAGCCTGGCTGATAGTACCCTGTAAGGGCTCCTGATCCAGGGATACAGGATTAGCAGCGTTTGTACTCCATGTTAGGAGCGGCTGCACATGGCGTCTGTTCCTCATGTCAGAGGTGGCCATTTCTTTTGAGCTAAGTCGGCCTGCCACTGAGTAGTACTCCCAGTCTTAATGACAAAGGCAGATGCATTATACTTCACCCAGTGTGGAGATAAGAAAGAAGAAGAAGAGAGTAATCTATTTACTGGACTTTTTTCTTTTTTTGCTTATCCCTAGCACACGTGGTACAGGCCATGATAATCATCGTGGGTAGAAGTAGGTGACTGTTTTTTCTATAAGTACACCACATGTCTATACATATGAAAAAGCAATTCAAATTTTGCACTTACAAATGTGCCAGAGCCCCATTTGGTTATTTGCACTCACTGGTGGGGTTGGACATTTAAAAGGTAGAGATATCAGCTTTTTTCAAAGGTCTTGCTAAAACATCTGGTTTGCAAATTCCGGGCAACCAATCTACATCTCTTAGTTGTTTATCCAGATTTATTCCATGATCTTTCAGCAGCTTCCTTAATAATTCTCAAGTTAGAGTACACTTTCGGTAACAAACGCTGTTACCGAAACATCACACACTATTTATTTGGTCTTATTACCATGTATTTATATTCTACTAGACGAATGACCCGGGCAACGCCCGTGTTTTACCCGATTGAATGTTTTTATTCCAATACTATTTGTTACAATTATAAATTGGAGCCATGGATGTCACTCTTGTGAAACGTCCCGCTCCAAACTTTACATGTACATTAGGTCAGCTGGTATTACCCCTCATTTTCACCGCAAGAGGCGCGAGCGAATTGACTTTTTGTAAATATACATAATTATAAAGATAGAAGCTTCTATAGAAGATAATGATCATAATGATGATGCGCGCGCATCCGTGACAGCGATGAGGAATTGAGGAAAGATGGTCGTGACTATATATTAACTAGACGAATGGCCCGGGCAGCGCCCGGGTTTTACCCGAGTGTGTATATATTTTAAAAATGTTTTAATTAAAATACTATTCGTTACAATTATAAATTGGCGCCGTGGATGTCTCTCTTGTGAAACGTCCCGCTCCAAACTGTGTGTGTCTTGAAAATATAAAAATAAAAATGTGAACGGAAAAATATGTCCAGGGTAGCCTAGTGAGGACAATGACCGATATGTCCTCACTTCTTTTTTCTAGATTTAATTCATTTTGTCTCCTCTCTTATTGTAAATACGCTGCTGTATCACCTCATAAGCATAAAAAAAATAGTGGTCATGGCATCTGCCCGGTAAGCGGAAGGTCGTGGGTTCGATTCCCATCCCTTGACACTTTTTTTATTTTATCCATTCTGATCAAAATCTATCCGTGAACTTCACAAAGACAGAATAAGGCAATTATATAAGTAGATAATCCAAATTGTGCCTTATCACACACTATTTTTTTATTTGGCCTTATTACCTTGTGTTTATAATCTATGACGTAATGCTGGCGGCGCGCGCCCGTTGGCTGCCGGCGAGCACGTGACCTCCCTGTGCGCGCGCATCCATGACAGCGGCCGATGAGGAATTGAGGAAAGACGGTCATGACTATATATTAATAATAATAATAATAATATAATAATTATTATTATTATTATTATCATTAGATAATGATAATGATCATAATGATGATGCGCGCGCATCCGTGACAGCGATGAGGAATTGAGGAAAGACGGTCGTGACTATATATTAACAACGCCCGTGTTTTACCCGATTGAATGTTTTTATTCAAATACTATTTGTTACAATTATAAATTGGAGCCGTGGATGTCACTCTTGTGAAACGTCCCGCTCCAAACTTTACATGTACATTAGGTCGGCTGGTATTACCCCTCATTTTCACCGCTAGAGGCGCGAGTGAATTGACTTTTTGTAAATATACATAATTATAAAGATAGAAGCTTTTATAGAAGATAATGATCATAATGATGATGCGCGGGCATCCGTGACTGAGGCCGATGAGGAAAGACGGTCGTGACTATATATAGGGATAATAAAATAATAATAATAATTATTATTATTATTATCATTAGATAATGATAATGATCTAATGATGATGCGCGCGCATCCGTGACATGAGGAATTGAGGAGGAAAGACAGTCGTGACTATATATGTTGACTAGACGAATGGCCCGGGCAACGCCCGGGTTTTACCCGAGTGCGTATATATTTTAAAAATGTTTTAATTAAAATACTATTCGTTACAATTATAAATTGGCGCCGTGGATGTCTCTTTTGTGAAACGTCCCGCCCCAAACTGTGTGTGTCTTGAAAATATAAAAATAAAAATGTGAACGGAAAAATATGTCCAGGGTAGCCTAGTGGTCATGGCATCTGCCCGGTAAGAGGAAGGTCGTGGGTTCGATTCCCATCCCTTGAAACTTTTTTTTATTTTATCCATTCTGACCAAAATCTATCCGTGAACTTCACACAGTGAACTTCACACAGACAGAATAAGGCAATTATATAAGTAGATAATCCAAATTGTGCCTTATCACACACTATTTTTTTATTTGGCCTTATTACCTTGTTTAGTATGAAGTAAGGAATGAAGAGTAGCTTCTTACATAGACATTTTATTCACGCTAGCTTTCGAACCTATGAGGTTCTTCAACGTTAGTGTAAAAAGCTACCCAAGCCTGTTGAAGAACCTCATAGGTTCGAAAGCTAGCGTGAATAAAATGTCTATGTAAGAAGCTACTCTTCATTCCTTACTTCATACTAAATTGGTCACGATAAGAGTTATTCCTTAAAAAACTTATTACCTCGTGTTTATAATCTATGACGTAATGCCGGCGGCGCACGCCCGTTGGCTGCCGGCGAGCACGTGACCTCTCTGTGCACGCGCATCCGTGACAGAGGCGGCCGATGAGGAATGAGGAAAGACGGTCATGACTATATATATATATAATAATAATAATATAATAATAATTATTATTATAATTATTATTATTATCATTAGATAATGATCATAATGATGATGCGCGCGCATCAGTGACTGAGGCCGATGAGGAAAGACGGTCGTGACTATATATAGGGATAATTCAAATTTGCCTTATCACACACTATTTATTTATTTGGATTAGGTCTTATTACCCAGCTCGAGGAGCATGAACTCATGGAATTCGTGTAATCTTTACACAAGGGGATAAGAAACAACAACAACAACAGGTCTTATTACCTTGTGTTTATAATCTATAATCCAAATTGTGCCTTATCACACACTATTTTTTTATTTGGCCTTATTACCTTGTGTTTATAATCTATGACGTAATGCCGGCGGCGCGCGCCCGTTGGCTGCCGGCGAGCACGTGACCTCCCTGTGCGCGCGCATCCGTGACTGAGGAATTGAGGAAAGACGGTCGTGACTATATATATTAATAATAATAATATAATAATAATTATTATTATTATTATCATTAGATAATGATAATGATCATAATGATGATGCGCGCGCATCCGTGACAGCGATGAGGAATTGATTGAGGAAAGACGGTCGTGACTATATATGTTGATAATAATAATAATAATATAATAATAATAATTATTATTATTATTATCATTAGATAATGATAATGATCATAATGATGATGCGCGCGCATCCGTGACATGACGGTGGAAAGATGGTCGTGACTATATATGTTGATAATAATAATATAATAATAATTATTATTATTATTATCATCATTAGATAATGATAATGATCATAATGATGATGCGCGCGCATCCGTGACATGAGGAATTGAGGAGGAAAGACGGTCGTGACTATATATGTTGATAATTCAAATTGTGCCTAGTCATCACCAAAGAAATATCAGACTCACTCACCCAGGTACTTAGGAATGGAGGAGAGTCCCTTGGAAGATTCCTTGTCCAAGTGTTTGCTGAGCCACTGGAAGAAGCTGCTCTTGTCCTATGGTACACAGGGTTAGGTGACCACACAGGTTCTAATACCATTAACTAATACATCAATACAACATCCATTGTTAAAAGCTCTAGCATGAACTCATGGGATTTGTGTAATCTTTACACAAGGGCATAAGAAACAAAAACATCCAATGGTTGGATTTAATATCTTTTTTTAAGCTCAATGACTTCTTTTTTTTAAAGCAACTATTGCAGCAAAAATAAAATCGTAATTATAAGGCAATAACGTGCCATCTATGACAAATGAAAGCATTATGCTATGAATTTTTCTTTTACACACAAAGCAAACTTCTACTGCCCTTACTGCGATAAAAAGATATATTTTTATCGCTGTAAGGACAGTAGAAGTTTGTTGTAATAATAGTGGCGGACATTGGACCTTAGTTCCAGTCCTTGTGGTCCTTTCAGTAGGTCGCTGAAGGACTCAGAGAGTCGACCCTCCCCTTCCTCTTCCCCAGTCTTCCTTCCACACGTCCCGCCAGTAATCCACTCTGAATGTGAGACAAGACTTGCCTCCTCTCTCAACTGACTCCAGTAGACCATACCATGATATCTATCGCCATTGAAGATAGAAAAAAACAATGAAATATACCCCACTTCCCCAATATGTAGCTTGGCATCTGCAGCTCCAGAACACATTTTGGCTTGCATTACATTCACTAAACAGGACTTTTGGGAGAGGCCGCTGCTTATCATCTAATGCTTCACATGACTGGTACAGAGCAGGAGGGACAAGCATCAGTTCTGTCCTCCCAAGAGAACAACAGTCTTTGATTTCCAGACTTAAGTCTGGTTGTCTACGGACAATGACTTTCCAGAATGGTTGCAAGGTTTTCCCACTATGTACTAAGTGTCAACCTGCAACCCCAAAACACATTATTGACTGTATTGACTTATCCATTGATGAGCTCTACTCATCCCCAGCAGACACCATTAAAAGTACTAAGCTCTACAAACTTGATACCCTTTTTTTTGCTTATCCCTAGTACACGTGGTACAGGTCATGAAAATCATGGTAGGTAGAAGTTGGCGACTGCTTTTACTGTAAGTGCACCACATGTCTACACATGTGAAAAGCAGTTCGACTTTGCACTTATAAATGTGCCAGAGCCCCGTTTGGTTACTTACACTCGCTGGTGGGGTTGGACTTTTGCAAGAATTGGGGGTCACTGGAGCATTTTTTTAATCAGAAAAAGGTGCCCAATGCGGGAATCAAACCCGGGTCTTAACGGTCGAAAACCAACGATTTAGACCATCCTTCCACCGACCCCCCAGCTTGATACCCTAATATGATTGAGTGGAGATAAGAAAGAAGAAGGACAGAAGATCAAACGGCTTGAGAAGCATGAACTCATGGAATTGGTGTAATCTCTTCACACAAGAGTATAAGAAACAACAACAACATGATATCTATCATCATCCATGATCAAAGTGGCAGCAGTCACTCACTGGGAGATACTTGGTGAACTCCTCCGAGTAGTTGGTGCTCTGCCGATGTTGCTGGAGTTCTGTTCTCCTCTTCTGCTGCTGCAGGAAGAGGTCTGCGGAGGCCAGTGTGGTCACTCCGTTCTCTCTCAGTTCCTTCAGCTGGGAGATCCTCTCCTGTAGCTCCCTCTGGCCTGCAACACCGTGGGTGGTTGGTTGTGGAACCTTTAAACACACTCCAGTTGCCCATATCACAGGCATCGGGTAACAGATCGCCTATTATAAATTTGTTTATTTCAAATAAATAGAGAAAGAAAATTTGTTGATTTGATTTGGGGAATTTTGCATCACAACTCAATTATTGAAAATTCAAAGTGATACAATTACAAGACACAGAATAAAAAATTATAAAAGGATGAGAATACATCCCCATGGCACAAGAACCTACAGGACATGTAACAACTGTCCAGGTGTGGAACCAACACCTACCCATATATTCTTATGTCCAGCAATGGTCGCAGTCTTACAGAAAATTGATATGGCCTCAGAACAGCAGGTTTAAACAACCAAGATAGAGAACATTGCTGTGATAGAGATGAACGGAGATATCTGTTCATTGGACATGACAATAGCAATAAAGCGATACAAAGGGGCATCTATTGTCACAAAATATATCAAAGATTATTTAAAGAAAAAGTTTTCTCTCATTCCCAACTCCCATAGAATGATTCTATTTATAATTGAGCTATAAGAGGAGCTATTAACTAATCACTTTTCAAGTTTTTGATCAAAGTTTTTTTTTTCAACAGAACGAAACTTTTTGTCTCAATCTTAGGTTCGAGTTTAAATTTATTTGTGCATAAGGTAACAAAACCAAATCCAAATAAAAGAATAGTGTGTGACATTTTGGTAGCAGATTTGTTACCATTATCAAACAAA